GTTGATGAAAATGTCGAATATGCTTCACATCAAAATAAGTCAGGGCGTCAGAGGGGCACTGGGACCAAGTATCAAGAAGTTCACCCTCAGGGAACCCCACACAATTTGTTTGTTAACGTCAAGTGATAACTGTTGGTGTAACCTATGTAATTTTATGGTAAATGTATAATGTATCAACCGTTTGCTTTATCTGTAGCGGTATATCGCTAATTAGTATTTACCAAATCAGTGAATGCCAATTTTCGGGCGTTTTGATTCGCTCCCGTAACTCGGAATATCCTTGGCTATTCGGAGCCAAGATGGCGTCTCGTTTCGAGATATTTTCGGAAGACGAAACTTGTACGATAAATGAAGCAGTCGAACAAACATACCAAGAAAGCGACGAACTTTGGCTTGTCAGTGTTCACTGGAAGGTGGAAAATTATTTTCAGGCTGAATTTGCAACAGAATCGTAAAATGCACTTGACAAAATCCCAAAAATGTTAATAAATTGTAAACAAAGTTCGTACTAAGTGACTTTTTTAATTTACAAAAAGTTACTCTTTTCGGTTTTATCCAACTGATTTGGTAAATACTAAAACAACTATCGCCCCCTCAGGGTCGGTGAACAGTGCTAGATATACACCTTCGGTATATCCACACCACTATTCACCTCCCCTTCCGGGGATAGTTGTATAATATGTGCATGTTTAAGGCTAAATAAGTGTTGTGTTACCTTGCCTTCGGTAAATTGTCGTCCTTTTGCATGAGAAGTGGTATTTTGAGCGATTTTTGCTGAGAAGAGAAAATTCGTCTCGTTTCGTTTTTTATTTCCTGTACCCTTTACGAGAAATAAGGTACTTCACTATCTAATAAAATGTTTTGAAAACAAACTTTGATCCATTGTACATCAATATAACAAAAAGAACCCGTTTAGGCGATGAGAGAGTAGAAAAATATTCTCAGAACATGAAAGACTTGGTTATTACAATTTCAGTCCGGTGTCAGTAGAATTAAAAATTAAATTAACGATAAAATAACTGATTTATTCCTCTTTGACGATCACCGCGGATAAAAATTATACATTTGAAGGAGTTTGCAGTATTTCGCTTTGACGATATCCGTGAAATATAATAGAGAGTTATAACACACTTGAAATCGTCAAATTTGTAATCTTTTCTTCTGTAAAAAAATAATCTTGGAAATCACGCTTAACGCCGCTCCTTGTCTTTTCGCTCTCTAAATACCCTGAATAAAGAAACTTAACAGTATTTGTCGAAACTTATCCTTAAAGCGCAGTCAGGAAAATGTTTTGATATCAGTTGCTTTGGTTCACTGAGACAGATTTGAAACCAGTATCCAATGCTGACGTGTGTCTATTTCTTCGTTCGTGAGGGCAATTTGATCTTGAGCCTTGGATCCTAAGGCGCACAGCTAACAACAGCTTTTTTTTTTATTTTTTAGCAGATTTTTAGCTTTACTCCTCTCCACGTCGAAAACCTGCACTCATTTTTCCACCAAGCAATTCAGGACTAATCTATTTATGTCTCTAAACCTGGCATCAACGATGATAACTCTTCGTCAAACATTAGCGCCTAAGAATGATCCGGATTTTAAGCTCGAGACAATCAAAATTCCCATGCTACCATTACATACAAGCTCTGCTATACACCGTGACGTGATAGTGGAGGGAGGTTAGAGGAAATATTTAAAGCTAAATTTACACAACTTATACGAATGTCGCTATATAGATGTACTCATCGAGAAAATGTTTTCTACTTTAACCGAACGAAATAACATTAATTTGAAAACCCGAGGCACTGATCCACATTTTTAACATGTGTTTTTTGCGCATTTTTGCTTTGCGTGATTCATTTCCACCAGAAGAGCAAAGAATCGAGGTTTGTGATGTTTTGTTACCGATATTTATTATTCATTAGCATTAGGAACTGAAATAATTCAATTTGACGACCAGGGACGGATCTTTGGAGCTCAAAGACGGACATTTGTCATGAATCAAGTAAAGCCAAAATAAAGGACAAGTTTCGAAGTTTCAAAATGGGCTTTACTGAAAGACTCCTTCCGCATGGTACTGACAGAAAAATTAAGAGTCTTAAACCGTACCTAAAATATTTAACCTTGGTGATTGATTTTTGAAGCCATTTTTAAAGTCAGTCAATAACAGAAATGTATGAAATAAAGACAATTGAACGCCTTTAAGCTTAGTATTGGTAATAAAGACTCCCGCGATATACGTGAAACTTTTAAGACACTAAAAGGCCGTATGACTGATCTGACCTATTTATATTCAGTCTTTTATTAAGTAATCAAACATTGGTTTCCATGATCCACATTTGGATTTAATTTTTGCCTTGACTTTAAAAAATGCCAAGGTTCACCGATGAATGCAGTGGCGTAGTCTCTTTCAACTAAACATGATTCATAAACAGATTAGATACCAGAATTAATGGTACTAAACGGCGTATGATTAATGATATTAAACAATTCAAACTTTAGATCTGCCAAGAAAAGCTTCACTGTTTGATAGATTGGACTGAACATAAGTAAGAGGGAGAAAAGTGACATTTCTGTTTGTTGAGCTACATTTACAAATGTGTCACTGATGAACAAGAAGCTAACAATAGCCATTTTAAGATATCGAACAGTAATCAAGGTAAACTGGACAAAACAAGAACAAATTTAGGAAACTCCCAAATTTTGGATGAAACAAATGATTATTTTTTATGGAATATTGCGGTTGATACTATCAAAGATGAGACGTCTGACATCAATTTTATCGGTAAGAACACTTTTTTTGAGACTCTTTGCAAGTGTAATATAAATATTCAACAAATTATGTTAAACCGAAGTTCAAATTACCATTTTATTTAACTATCAATTTAAGCGAACTGCAAAATGTGTTTATATTTTGTCGATTCGGTTAAGATTTTCAGGTTTTGTCGCTATTGTCATTAACCTGACTCGCGTTAATATTATTATTGTCAGTATTAAAAAAGCTGGGAGTTCCTATACATAACTCACCGTCCATTCAAGTGCTTTCAGTCTCTTGGAATCCAAAGGCGATTTCCAAAATTTAATTCTGGCTTTGTACTCACCAAATTTGGAAGCATAAAATTACGGTAAGTTTCTGCCTACGGGACATTTTACCCGTGAAAACACTTTCACAGATATTTCAGTAATTGTTAGTTTGAATTTACAAAGAGATTTTCAAACTCAATATTTTTGTGGCTAAGCACTATCAAAACATAGTTTCCACGCCATGAATAACCCTGGACAATTTAAAATAGCCAGCCTTATTGGCGGCCAATCGCCAAAACTAAGTTTATAGAAATTTTTTGAAAATTTCGGTATGTTATCTGTAAGCCTTCAATAAAGAGCTCTTCAATTCAGGCTGTAAATTTTCGAAGAAAATACAGATATTGTTCTTTGTGATAAAGATCTTAAAACTGATACGCTATAGTGAATAGCTACCGTAAGCGAAAAAGAAATCCCAAATCCAGATCTGATATGTAAGATCGATTCCTCAGTTGCTGTGGAATCATCTCATCTTACATGTATTTGAAGGATGCATCTCCATATCGAGTGGATAATCCTTTCCATGTTTTGTTTTCTAGACATATGTATGGCCATGGACAGTACTGAGAAATTTACGACTTAGGCTAAATTGGACACTTTGGAAACATCGAGGACTAGTCGGGGCCAAGTAGAGAATCACTGCCGCGGTATCGAATTAGAGCGTTTATTCAAACGTGAGTTATAAAATAGTTTTAATAGGATAAACTATGACTAACACAACCAACAGTATTGCTTATAAAAAGGTTATAACGGTGGTCAAAAGTGATAAATTCGAAATAATCAACTTAAAGAAATTGAATGTACAACACCTGGTCAACAGGACCTAAAAACAATAATACTGACCACAGCGACACATCAGCTTCGTACTCAAAAGCTGGTAACGATTTGCGACTGAGCACAGTTTATGCATTTTTACAGCTTGACATGCTTGTTAAACGATCGAGCTGTAATGGAACCATAAGTACTTCATAGATAAAAGATTTAACGCTTACTTAACGCTTAACGCTTATATTAACGCTTAACGCTTATATTTTCAAAACAAAAAAGGTTCCTTAAACATGACTCTCTCCAAGAAAATCAGGCAATTAGTTTTTGAGCACAAAGCACGAACTGCTACACGCCACAGTTGGTGAATGATCGGGCGACTGTGTAAGATCTCTAAAGTTAACTGTTTACACTGAGATTATTTACTGGTTGGAATTGGAATGGAGCAGAATAGCGGGACAAGACCACTAAGATGGAAAGAGGGTTGAAATTATGAGGATAATAATTGGTACCACTCTTTCATTGCCAGTTCAGTTTAATTTACCTATTCAAGTTATATAATCTTGAGATATCACAGTTCTTTCAATTATACGCAATGATGTCTCTGGTTATATAAATAACATCAATTTAATATGAGTAAAATTTGTGATATGCTGATGACAATGAATTAGCAGAACTCCAGCAACAAATGTTTAGTTCAAACTATGATTTCAAAAAAGCCTTTCATTAGGCGCATCGATTACTTAGCAACCTAATATTTCCGGAAGCGAAATTGAAATTGTTGAACAGAAATTGGAATACACAAGAACATGAAGGCTGTTTCGTGAGCATGTTTTGACGAGAAACTCATTCAAACAAGGAAATTCTGTGATTGACTCGCTAGCAGAGTGTTGGTATGTACGAAACTTTCTTCTATAATAATAATAATAATAGTAATAATAATAATAATAATAATAATAACATCAGAGCTGGCTACATCTGGGTATGGTTACAAGATCTTAAACGCAAGTGCTCCAATAAGCAATCTGTTTTATATGGATGATCTAAAATTGTATAGCAAGAACGAGCAAGAACAAGTTGGAGAACTGAAAATAGTGAAACAATTCAGTGATGATATTGGTATGGAATTCGGACTTGAGAAATGTGCCAAAGCCAGTTTCATGAAAGGTAAACTGGCCTCAACTGGAAACATAGTAATAGATGATGACACAGAAATACAAGAGTTGGACCAGGAAGGAGTATACAAATACCTGGGTGTAGATGAAAGTGATGGTATCCAGCATAGCAAAATGAAAGAGAAGATAAGAAAAGAATATAATAGGAGAGTAAGATTAATCCTAAGAACTGAGCTCAATGGAAGAAATAAAATAGAAGCTATCAATAGTCTTGCAGTCCCAGTTGTGCAATATAGCTTTGGCATCATTGACTGGAAAATCTCAGAACTGAAGAAGATTGACACAAAAACACGCAAACTATTGAACATGCACAAGATGTTACATCCTAAAGCAGATGTGGAAAGGCTGTACATCCCAAGAAAAGATGGAGGTAGGGGCCTGATTGATGTAGAAACAGCATTCAAAACTGCAACAATAGGGCT